CAACCGAAAAAATTCTCCATAAAATCGTTCAGTATGTCTCCATTCCTTTAGAAACATGACGTGAAGCGCGAGAGTTGTGCAAAAATGTTTTCTGGTGTTCAGAGACCATAGCCGAAAAAGTGCAAAAGAGCAAACGCATCAAGGTTCTTGACTATTGATAATACATGTGCGAGGACTACGACGGCCTTGGCCACGCTGCCATCACAGCCCAAGCCGGTAAACCATTTTAACATATTATTACTGAGTACACCCCCCCCTTCGTGACTTATTCGGGATGCAGAAATGGAAGACGCTAGCGTAATCCCCGGCTGAATATCTCTTATGCGGCATACATCTCACTTCCAATGACCACTTCGACCTTTCATCCATCCTTTGTTAGACATCTGAGTCAGCGGACATGAGCTTGAATTTCGCGTAAAACATCCTTCAAAGGGATATGATAGCTAAATGACACCTACAGACAAATACCACGACACCCATGTGGTTATTTACCATAAAAGCCAAAATACGAAAGATATCAACAAAGTATGGCAATAAGTCAGCCTGCATCTTAGGATGAAGTGTTCTACAAATATGCATGTAGAACATTATTCTCCCTTATGAACTGTGGATTCTATTTCTAATCTCTTTTTTCCGCTATCCTATCTCTAGGAATTTTTGATGAGATTTTTTGCTTGCCTCCGTTTCATTATTTGAAGGAACAAAGAATAATCAAAGCATATATGATATTTCACAATGACTTAGAGACTCGCAAAAAGTGACGATTCCTGCTGATTTTCCTTCGAAGAAAAATAAAAGCATCAAGCGCGTAGGAAAAGGCTTCCAGGGTGTGTGCTTACGAGCGAAAATCAGCTGAGGTAGATACTGTGGAGGTCACATGCGAAGGTGGGGGTTGTGAGCATGCCGGCGAGGGGTCCGGTGGGAACACGTAGGCTTGCAGCGATCATATCAACGCTGCCTTTCGTTCCTTTACGTTGATTCCTTGCTTGAACATGCGTCACGGCACTCCCTACTCACCCTTCCGTCTGGAGCCGATCAATAATTCCTGAGGCTCGCGGTCGGCTGATTCTGCGGTGTTTTATATTTCTTCTGATTTCAGCTTGTGAAAGCTATTATACACAGCAACATGATATATCTGCTTCGGGGAACTTTATCCGAATTTCTTCCTTCAAAGGTGCACATGGAACATGTATATGTTAATCATTGTAGAAGCACAGCGTCCTCCTTCAAATTGTCACCTTCGAACTAGCAATTGCATCCATATTCCTTTCGTCTATTGAGAGCATTCGCTTAAACAAGTGGATTAGTCAAAACTTCAACCCTAAGAAACTGCTTTAGGATCATATGTCCATTGTGCAAAATAGGATAACTGTTACTAGCGCCATATCCCTCGCAGTATCACTGCCTTAATATTCAGCTACACATCAATAGGGTGGACCAGCTTCGGGACTTTGAAAGGGACGGTTTAGAAGTGCGATCTTCCATATCAAACATTATAGAATATGCGACTTAGGGGATGATGCATAGGATCACTTACTATGTTCTTAACTGGGGGAAAACTTGAACTCACTATATCTTTTCCACCTCCAGCTCTGAGCGCCAGTCGCACTTTCTCGCTGAGCGGCCAGTTGCGTTTCTCACCAAAGAGCTTCCGATCAGGAAGAGTACTGTAGTGGCTAAGAATGGCGAGTATATTGTTGATTTAATTCTGTATGTTGAGTTAGATAATAAAGAGGAAAAAGTCACAACAGTGACAAGACTTTATTTACAGCCTTATAATCTGTTTATCTATTTGTGATGTGGTCAGCAGAAAGCGTAGGAGCTATCTCCAAGGTGAGTTTCTCATTTCCGCCTTTATTCTCGGTTTAAAGTTAAAATGTTTCATCATCTTCAGTGTTGCCCTTTTAAGTGAGCTTCTTCTTTTATCTCTATTTTTCATTGTTCAATCCCAAAATGAACTATAAACGTTTTGCAATTCTGAAAATAAGCCATTATGAAGTTCCTAAAGCACATCAGATGGGACAGTAAGAAAAGAAATGAAAAGAAGCGAAGGAAATTGTCCTTTCTCGATAACGGGAAAGAAGCTGGTATTCAGTTGACACATTCCACATCCAACTAAGCTGGCGCAACGGCACAGCTCAGATTGTAAGGAAGGGAACTCCGGGTTACTTCGATTTTGGAAATCAGTAGAGCGTCTTGCCAGGAATGCAAATATGTTAGACGATTGAGAAAGTTGTCGGCGCAGCTGTATCTGTCTCTTCTCAAGTTTTAATGCTTTAGCCTCATTCCACCAGAAGGTCTTCATTCGAAATGGGTGAGCCTTTTGTAAGGATACAGGATGAAAGATTTTGCCCTCGATCAATCCCTCTGTAGAATATGGCATCCTGCACTCTCATTTAGAATCGTGTGGGTTGCGATGTGTCCTATACATTGACTTGTGGGGCAAGCGCACAAGCCCGTGTTCTTATCCTTCCACAACAGTCTAGTACCAATTTAAAGGCAGCGCCCGCGTTCATTATTGTTTCCACGCCCTCTTTGTATATCGTAGCTCACCCTATGAGGATGGTGGACGTACTAGTTTCGCAACTCAAAAATGCGAGAGAATAGCGCGCCCGCTCGTGAAGAGTCGGCCACCCCGCCCACCTGGCGACCACTACGCCCAACTTCATTTCTAATGGTTGCCTGATGGTGCGGTTGTTCCATGCTGCTTCTCTCCACGTCGAGTGGTGAGAGTGAGGTGAAAAGAATAAAGTCAATGTGTTCCGTAAATGTGCATTACCGTAAAAGTGCTCCAGAGAAATCAGGCCAGCCCTGCGAAGCCGGGCGAAAGAAAAGGAGGAGAGCTCGGCGTAAGCCGGGCGATCCGACTGATGTATCATAAAGCGGCTGATATGGAAGAAAAAGCTGTCATCGGATAGATATGCACAACAACGTGTGATTACGGCTTTCGAGAATTATTCAAATTTATTCCCTGATGCACATGTTCCGCGAATGTCTTAACGCCCTGTAGAGGCACAGGACTTTCAGGATGTCACCTTCGAACAAGCCATTGCATCCATATATCGTTTCTGGAGCGAGAGCGTTCACCTAAATAAAAGGGTGAATTACAATCTCAAATCTAAGAAATTGCATTTTGGACTACTGTATCCAATTAGTTACCTACGTAGATCAACTGTTAACGCCACTTCTCTCGCAACTATCATTGCACTCACTTTCACCTACACCTCAATAAGGTAGACCTTTCTCGAGGCGTTGTCAAGGGATGGTTTAGAAGTGCTACCTTCCATATCAAACTTCATACAGGATGCGATTTTGGGGGATGATGCGTAGTGTCACTCACTCGGTTCGTAACTAGGGGATGTGTTAACTCACTTTATCTTTTCCACCTCCAGCTCTGAGCGCCAGTCGCACTTTCTTGCTGAGCGGCCAGTTGCGTTCTTCACCAGAGAACTTCCTTCGAGGAAACAGAATAAGTTACATCTCATTCGAAACCCAACGAAAAGACCATAAGTGAGCCTACCTTTGGCCGTCCAACCTTACGTAGATATTATTGGGCTCTATACCCACTAGGTCATAGCAAGCTTCATACGAGAGTTCGTTGTTCCATTCCTGCAAGCGAAAAATTGCCACTAATCGGTAGGGTGGAATTTTCATTGGAGATCGATCTCGAAGAAAATTGATCAGTGGAGAAGATATCACGAACCAGATTGGGGTTGTACATTCTATTGTAACTCCTTATACCAGTTACTCTGTGCTTTGTAAGGTGATACA